AGTGAAATATATTTATGTTTGTGGTTGTAATGTGACAAAATATGGAAAAGTTCAAGGGGTATGAATACTTTTGCAAACCACTGTAGGTGGGTGTTTGTTTGTGTAAATGTATATATAAATATATATGCTTTTGTACGGAGCCCGCAAGGGGACATGGGAGATTTTTTTTCTTTTGCATTCCCACGCAATAGTATTCCGTTCCTTCGCAAAAGTTGTTTAACACTGTTGTGCCTGCTGGTTTATTAATAAACTCACATGTTCACCATTAGTGAGTTAGCTTACTGCTTTAATTCAGCTTCAGATTGAATATATCACACAGCCACACATGGAAGTACGTCATATGCTGATATTTTAACACAGTGCAGCCACGCAACATCAATGTCAATTTTACGAACTTGTGGCGACACATCCTGTTTTAGTAACCAGATATTTCAAAATAAAAGTCTGATTTAATTCAGTTCACATACAAAACAATATTGCGTGGGAACGCAAAAGTGTTGCAAGGTAAGGCAAAAGGAAAAAAAAAACCCCGTGTCCCCTCGCGGGCTCTGTACTTTTGCTAAGTTTTGTTGCCTTAATTATAATTTTTTTGCTGGTGTGCAGACGGTTGTTGGACGTATTGTATTGTTTTCTTGATGTATATCTCGCATATTTTCATTTCTTCCTTTCACTTTTCTTCCATTACATTGTAACTCTTTCCTTTCTTTCCTTTTTCCCTTTCTTTCTTATTTTTTCTTGTCCATCTGTCAGGTGTAATTGAAATAGGCCCAATATTATTTCTAATAAAGTTTCATTTATCAAGTGGAGAGTTATGGCAAAAGCCAAAAATGCTCCGCTTGTGAAAGCAATTCTGTGGGGCCATATCATCACACTCAGGTTATAATTCTGAGTGCCACACACCCGGACAGGACAAAAACAAAGAAAAAAATTTTTTTTTCTAACTGCAAGAGTGAGGGGGAGAGAAATAAGACACGTGTTGTGGTTCTTCCTCTGCAGACCTCTGTGCTTCTCCTTGTTTAAAAAGAATTGCCTCATTGTTTTCATTTAAAACACACTAAAACTGGCTAAAATGAAGAGGAAACACTCAAAACTACACACTAACTATAAAATCCAAACATGTTAAAAGTCACAGATCTAATTAATAAAGTCCTGCTCTCACCGGCTCTTCATTGCCGCCAATCTCCATTCAAATTTCGCCTCTTTTTATTTTCTTCTTCCTGTAGATTTTTTGCTGCTTGTCAGATAACTTTGAGCCTCAGTCAGAAAGGAGGTCTGAGGGGTTATATTTTGTTCGGTTTAAGAGAAAGATGAGACTGATAATGCACTACGGTGTTTTTTCCACGAGATTACCGTGTTTCCTGCTCCCTTCAGCTGCAACGCGATTCAAAATAGAGCATTCATTCTCAGGAAAAAAAAAAGTAAGATATGCCATTTATCGTAAGTCTGGTTTTCTTCTCTTGACCTATCGGCACAATTTAAAAACTGCTGTATGGTTTGAAGTCTCTACTTTTGCCACGGTTTGTAACTGAGTCTCACAACGAGTTTTCCCCCATAAAAAAATGGAGGTTGAAATCACGTGACTGAATGACATCAGGCCGACTTCGAGGATTGTGTTCTCCCCGTTCTTTATGCTCAACTCTGTTTATGTTTGAACGTGATTTACAACTTTTAAAGTTTGGTGTTTCACATCTAAGATTTCTCTCCTTTTATTTTGAAAGTGCTTGGGGATGAAACGATTTCCTCTCTGTGTGTCTCTGCAGGTCATAAACAACGCTTGTGCCACCCAGGCCATCGTCAGTGTTCTACTTAATTGTTCTCATCCAGACATGCTGCTTGGAGACACGCTGACAGAGTTCAGAGAGTTCTCACAAAGTTTTGATGCAGCTGTATGTGAATTATGTTTTTTATTTATTATTGTTATTTTTATCTTTCTAGTAGCATGATAGAAAAGGAGTTAACATAAGCCGTATACTTACTAGGTCTGTGTGATTCATAATTACTTCATCGTTAAATGTTTATAAATGCGAGGTGTGTTTAGGCATGCAGACAGTACTGTACTGAAAAACATTAGTTGAGTGATTTCTCAGCAGAGACCAGTTACCGTCTGCAGCTTAAATTCCTCCTGATGTTTTTCCACATTCGGAGTTTGAATTTATCTTCCTGTCCTCAGATGAAAGGTTTGGCTCTCAGCAACTCCGAAGTGATTCGACAAGTTCACAACGGCTTCGCGAGGTGAGCTGCTGCTCATAAAGRGAAGTTTCCATCCTGAGAGCGTCGCTTTGATCAGCTGCAGGATATTTTTAGCTTCTCGTTCTAATTTCGGTTG